TTAACGAACAGGGGTCAGTAAGCTTAATATTACAACCTGATCCGAACAGCAAATACCTTAGAACATACAAATGGAACCATTATTTCTTAAAACAACCATGGATATCCCAATATTGAAATCCTAATGCAATGTTAAGAAACAACAGTTACATATTTTTACCCAGAAACATAGATACCAAGACCATACATAACATTGCTACATGACAATCATGATGACACATAGAAACGTACTTAAATTTTCATTTGACATAACACGTCTCTATTATAGGGGTGTCTCCCAAGATACTATGGACATCACTGGGGGCTCCTTATTCATCAATAAAGGTTGGCCACCTGTTATGGTTTGTGTCTGTGTGTCCCCCCAAAAGCCTCATGTGGCCATGGGGCAGGCTTTTAGAGTTTGATTGACTATGGGTGTGAGAGCTACACCCACCCTGGGGTGGATGGTTTACAAATGTAAGGGAGAGGAAGAGGCTGCTTGAGGCCATTCTGCCCTTGTGGGTGCTTGTTGCTTTGCTGTGTCCGGCCGCCATGAGCTGTAGCCCTCTGCCATGTGCCACTCTGCCTTGTAATCTGCCAAGTATGGACTGAAACCTTCACAAACTGTAAGCGAAATAAACCTTTCCTTCCTTAATTTTGGGTGTCAGGTATTTGTCCCAGCAACTAGAGGAAAGTAACCAAGACACCACCCCTGTATTCACCAACTGGACTCCTACCCAATAATTTCTCCTCTTCCTAAGGACTATCGTTAAAAATCTTAATTTCGGTATCATTTAAACCAGCTGGTAACTCAGACGAAAGCAGGCTTTTAAATCCATAACCCAACAGCTGAGCTCAAAATAAAAGGGAACAGTTGTTCACTGAATGACAAATAAACATGTAAACAAGTACACAGGGCAAAAAAACTAACATCTTTACAAAAGGAGAGTGCACTCAAACATATTTTTGACCAAATTGAATTACAGTAATTCTATGATCATTTTAGGAATTTATAATGTAAATAGATTTGTTGTCAATTAGCAGACATCTCTTAGTAAATTTTTGGAAGGAATAGAATCCTTTATCTACAAAAAATATGTACATTTTGTATTTTATCCTCTTGACTTTCTGTTGCAATTAATATGTCGCCCCCCCATGCCACATAGACCAGGAAGACATGTAGATTCATTAACATAAATTGGTGCAGGCATATATGCCCAATTTTGTAGCCACCGAAGTGGCTATTGCAGCCAACATGGCTAGAAACATACTACCAGCCGTAAAGTCTCGTCCAGTGGAGTCCAGCAGCTTCTCAGCATCATGGGTTAATTTCCTAAGTTGTCCCAAGGTTGGGGGTTGTGCTTTCTGAGTGTTCTTGGATGGTGTCTGGGGGTGAGGCTGTAATGACATCGCTCTCATTTCCTCCACCCGAAGATTCAGATCGAGTCTGACTCTTTTGTGGCTCAAGTCGAGGTTTAGGTCTGCTGGCAGGTCACCATACTCTTTCTCCTGAATCTGAATGGCACAAGGAAATCCTCTCCCCGACACTGGAACAATACCTCTTTCCCCTTTTCCAGTCCGAAAATCTTTCCAAAAGATAGGCTGCCCTATCGGTTCTGGTGGCCCCTTAATAATGGTGCCTCAAAATTTTTCTGCTGGAGTTGTAAATGAATCTTTACTGATATCCAAAAAATGTAAAGTACATAGAGCTCTATGCAATAATTAGTGCAGTGAACTTCTCTCCCCATCTTCACAGTCAGAGTCTGTCTCCCACATTTGCACTGTAATCCCTTTAGAAGGCAAACTACTTCTTCCCACTAGCAAACCAACGGATCCCTCCAGGAGAGGCCCATAAATCCCACTTCTAATCTTTTGAATTGCTCAAGCAGGGTATATCATGACCTTCTCTAGGGAGGGGATATCCAATGCTGTACTACCCCTGGTTGCGGCAGAGAGATCACTGACTCTCCGTGGGCGTGGTCGTAGCCCTTGCGGACTGGAAAGGTCTCAGAACTCCCAGTATTGTTTGTCCTTGGGCCACCGGCCTGGGCCCGAGCGGAAGTTTCCCGCCAGTATCAGAGGAGTGCCATTTTGATGATATTTGGAAGGACACTGGCTAGCCCAGTGTCGTCCTTTCTGACATCTGAGACAGACCTTAGCAGGCAAAGGATCCTTAGAAGTACAAGCCTTTTGTTCTATCTGATT